AAATGTGAATACCAATAAAACCAATAGCCATTTTTTTGACTCGAGTTTCTTTTCTCCCTGCAGTCTTAGGGCGACTTTAAATTTTAAATCACAATTTATTTATACTTTTAATCTATTCTATATTTTATTCCTTATCCCTATTGCTTTCTCTCAAGACTTCCACTAAATTTTCTGGACAAAAGGGACATCTTGCAAAAAGCTCATCCCTCTCTCTTTAACAATCCTGCTGGCAAGTAATTTCCCCATACCCATTCATCTGCTACCTCCCAGAGAAAAGCACTGCAAATGATAGTATCAGGACCTTGCTCTTGCCTTCCCAAATGAAACCAGCCATAAGAGTGAACCAGCATGGTCCTTGGATCCTCAGATTAAACATCCCCTTTACGTGCACTTCCCTCTTCAAATAATACCATGACCAAAATAATCAGTACCCTACAGCAGCTGTGTGGTTCCCAACAAGTGCGAATAGAGGGTCCTGTCTTTTCTTCTCCGTTCCCAAATATCAGTGGCAAAATGGAAAAGGTTGTATGGGAAGCATGCTGGCAGAGCACCTAGGAGAATACTATCAAATGTGCTCCTGCCAACTCGATTGGTAACCTTAACCAGGAAGGTCAAGGAGTACCAAAACACAGAGTTTAAAACTGAACTGCTAATTCAAATTATGAAAAATAACATCCCAAACTGTGGTCTGGGTTGTGAAGGGATCACATCTATCGTAAGAGTGTCATGAGACACTGTAACCCGTCACCTGACTATTCCCCAGTTCAGGGCTCAAGATCTGCAAGTAACTTTTTTTCCATTTACATGTGCTTTTGTTGTTTTTACACTTCATACAGCTCTTGGGTTTATTAGCTCAGTAAGACCTGCTCACTCATGTGCACTGAGAATGCCTTAATGCTCTGTGAATCACCAATAACACAGAGCTTTACACCTTATTTGGTGTAAAAAGAGGAAAACTGCTGGAGCAAAACATAAAAAAAAAAAAAAAGCCAGAAGCTGGCTTGTTGTAAGCACAGGCATTTATCAGTTATTAGTCATTAGTCGAAACTGATAATGATGGGTTTTCAATGATGATAAAGCACTGTCTGCTGCCAAACAGTGCCTCAAAATGGAGAAAGGTACTTAAAACTTGCTTCAGATGAACAGCTGGGTGCATGCCAACTTTTTACATGAACAGTCATAAGCATGTTCCTGCACAGCAGGATGTGATCAAACTATTCAAAGCTGTAAAACCAGGTTTGCTTGCCAGTTATGTTATTGCTTCAAGATCAGTGTATTACAGATGGTACTTTGGCAGCCATGAAACCACTGTTTTTCCTTAACAACAAATTTTACACTATTAATGTTTAAAACACTGTACAGAACTGACTGTTCCTAATTAAAAAAAACCAACAAAACGACCCCCAAAAATAATGAACAACAGCAAAAAAAATTAAACAAAACAAAACCACAACAAACAAGCAAAAAATCCCCCCCCCCCGAAAACAAAAACACTCCTCCTCCCCCCACCCCCAAACACAAACCGTTTACAGAATGAAAGTTAGGACTGAAAACATATCAAACACCGTCTCCTGGACTATAAGCCATCTCTTATTTAGCTTTAAAAAATTACTTCCGTCAAGCGGTACCAATTAATAGGTCCCCTTCTCTAAACCAAAAGAAAAGTAATTGTAATGACTTATTCAAGACCTCAGCTTCAGCTGCCAACACTGTAATTGTATTAACATTCCTGTCCAGAAGGTGTGATGTGGTTAATAGGTGGTTGAGACATTGCACTTTATTGCCTCCTGCTGGAAACCACTTCTTTAAAAGTATTTTATGAAGATCACACAATGTGACTATGCCATATGTAATCTTCATTAAATGTCTGCCACTAACTGGTTTACTCAAGCAAGAAAAAAAATTTAAGAAAGGCAGAACTGTAGTACAACAAACTGAACAAGTGATTTTTTCCTTGAATGGGTTAAGACAAAATTGAACATTACAGACCGATGTTTTAGTTCTCATGACAGCCAGCATCTTTTTCCATTTTCCTTTCAAAGGATCAGTCATAAAACAGGCTCAAACTCCCCAGTATGACACGGTATCTGTTAACTAACAAACATATCTTAGCAAATACAACCAAACAGTTGAGTCTGCTTTTTTAAGGGGGTTGGTACAGGAGAAGATGGATGTCAATGTTTAGCCACGCTTTAGTTGTTTGTTTTTTATTCACTTGAAAATACATACTAAAAGTAGTATCAAATATTTGAGTTTATACCATTTTATTTGTTTTCACACATACAAAAAGTAGTTTGCATATTTGCTAAGCAATCTAGTGAATGATCTAAGATTACATACACATGCACAGCTCAATACAGTTATAGAAGTGCCTCTATCTGCTTCCCAGTAAGAAGTAACTTTCAAATTTGAAATCTCAAAAACATATGCAGAGGCTCTTTAGTGTTACAGCTTAAAAAAAACCCCAACATTTTCATGACCTTTCCCTGAAATGGACAGTGCTCTTGAATTTTTGAAGAATAAAAAAAATTATTCAAGTAAAATTCAAAGAGAAGAATCACAACCAGCTAACTATTGTCAAGTATGCTGCAAAGTGGCCCCATTAAATATAATTTAATAGTATAACTACCAGTATTCCAAAAATGACACCACCACCCCCCTCCCCCCCCCCCCCCCCAAACCAACCAAACATCTCCAAACCAAAACACTTTCAAAGACTAACTGAAAGTCATTTGTGTTTACCTGGTCTTAGGAAATGTACAGTTTATAGTGTCTGTTCTCTAGGAGTGTAACCTATTCCTTGAATAAAATTGAAAAACGTGTTCAAGCAGTGAGGGCTTTTGTGTTATTGTTTCTTACTTGGCAAATTCTTACTATTGTTTCTTACTTACCTTTTCCAGAGGATAGCCACAGCACACTAACGGTTTACTCTATTTCTGCTTTGTCTTAGCCTGTTCTCATCAATCCCTCCCTCATATTTGATGTCACCTCCACCAAAAAGAAAGATTTTAACCTGCAGATGTTATGAATGCCTGAGGCAAACTCAGATCTAAATTCCAATAATTTGCATTTGTTATGCTAAGCATATACATTCCCTAAATTATATCTATCTAGTCCCTTTGTGGTCTAATGTAGGAATCCCTCTCCTATTGTTCGTGATGTTAGAACTGTAATAACTACTGCTATTGCAATGTTAACAAAAGACTACTAATAATTCAAGTACGGTATGAATTCCCAAGGAATCATCAAGTGAGAAATGCAGGTTGAAATGGTGGCTTCAATTACAAGGACCTATTTTCTAGATTCAAGAGTTACAGCCATAAAAGCATGAAATATGCAAAAACAAAAGCCATGACTAATGGTATTAATTGCAAATGGTATCACAGTAGTACAGCTTAACACAAAATATTTAAATTTTCATTCAGTGAGGATTTATTATTTTATTCATTTATTTTTTTAGCTGCACTATCTACTTAACATTAGCTGTGCTTTTTGCTGACAGGCCTAAAGATGACTTTGCTAGTTGCAGCACTTGAGCCATTACTATATAAAAAATTTATCTTTAATAATTCCCAAGCTGATTCCTTGGGAAAAATACCTCCTTAAACAGGCTGCTTAAAAACCAATTCAATTAAAAAGCATATTAAAATGCCCTAAAATAACATTCTTCTGACATTCAGAGAAGTTTTATCATCCAAGTGTACCTGAAAGTCCACTCTGCAAACAAGCAAAACCTGACAAAATAAAAATAAAAGTACTAAAAGATCCTTCTCTGTTGCTGAAAGTTTTTCTATTATAAACTGCTTAATTTTCAAATGCCCTGTGTAAAGAAGAAAGAATATAAACTTTTGGCAGGACTATTGGATGTTTCCCAGTAGTTATGCTGCTCATCATTATTACAAAAGCAAAAGAAAGTAGACTGAAAAAGTTCCACCATTAACATCTTCCAACATTAACAGCCTTTGTAGTGCATACTGGATAGAGACACAACATATTTTAAGCACCAGGCAGTTGGGGCTTTCAAGGTTAAAGTAAGGGAGAATGCAAAAACAACAACTGCTATGAAGTGAAAATTACAGGGTGTGTAGAAGAGACTCTTTTACCAGGAGACTTTCCAATACAACATGAATTTAATCTACATTATCAATAGCATCCAGGATCACAAACCTGACTTTAAATCCAATAGAAACTAGTTACATGTGAGCAAACCTTAGTAAATCACATGAAAAATCTAAATTTTCAATATTGGAAGAGTCAGATGAAATTTCTTGCCTGGGATTAATACATCAGGAGTTTCATCCAGTCTAAATCCTTGCATTTCCCCAGGAGACTTCTCCCCTAGTTGGACTGCTCCTCCCTACAGCCTGGTCTATTGAGTTACGTCTAGGTTAAAATCCAAGAACGAAAACTTTGCATGTGTGTGGGGAAACACAGCAGAAAAACTTTTCCATGATATGGTAAAAGCAAGGAGACTGCATGGTGCAGAGAATGAAGACAATATTGTTCTGTGAAAATAGGAAATGGCAGGGAATGATTCATCTGAGTGGAAAAAGGACCTCAGGTTCTTTTAAGTCAGAAAGTGTAAAGACTGTGAGAGTCAAGCACCACATGTTGTTTTTCATCTGTGAATGTAAAGCAATAGATAGATGAATTGCCTGCATTGTTACATGCTTTACTAATTATCTTCCTTTAATGTATATTTTTGCCACTTGTAACTCTTTACAAATCCTTGAGACCAAGCTGACTGTTATCCAGTGCATTATACCAATACAGCATACAGCAAAACTAAGCCCTTAATAGCTTTTTAGGTTGGTCAATATGCTGAAAATAATTTTGCTTTAAAAAACAGGAGACAGCTCGTGCTCAGGTGAATCATTAATAAGCCCTTTACCACAAGGGCTCTCTTTGAGATTTTCAATAGAGAAAAAAAAAAAAGCAAAACAAACAAAAAAAAACAACAAAAAATTGTAGTGAGTGATTATATACTTGTAAAGACTTACTTGATACAAAGCAGCATCTCGTTGTTCTATTACTGCATTCATTTCCTCGGCTATTATTTTCTTTTTACGTTCTTTGGTCCTGTGTATTCGATTCAGGATTATAGCTCCATTCTTCAGTATATCTATCCCTGTGTCTGCATTGTTTATTCTGTTCAGTAATTCCTGTAATGTCTACCAACAGCATTATATGTTAGTCAGACATGAAGTTTTAATATATTTTATTTAATATAGGGTTTTAATTAATAGGCACATGTGAATTGTAAATTGACTGAGTGAAGTTATTGAATTTTCATATTGCGGCAAAGATGTACATTATTAGTGTGTCAATTCTTCTTTTTCCCACATCTTAGTTCTTGAAACCCACTCAATTGAACTTAAGCCTCTAAGATATAAGACTGACATCAAGAAATCTCCTCAGAGAATGGCTTACCATGTCATTTTCTTCAGGGTTAATATTTTCTAGCCTAGAAAAAAGGGACACAGAAAGCCTGATCAGTAGCATTTCCTTAGTGCAGCAAAATGAGTTCGCTTTTTAAATCTTTAGAACCTCAAGTAATTTCATTCTACTAGTCTTTAGAGTCAACCATGACACTGAACATATTAAAGTGCCACCTGCTCGACTCCATCTTTCAATAATGCTCCATATCTTCAGCACTGACTTCAGACTGTTAAGTTATTAATGTTTACTGCTATATATGACTACAAGGATCAATTGTTCATATGTGCTTAGATGAAGAAAGTTCCCCAGTGATAGAAATGACTGATGCTTTTATTGTATATATTTCTGGGCTTACAACTTTTACCTCACTTTGTATTTTTGTTGTTTTTACTGCACCCCAAATAAAAAAGGACAGGACTTTCGTGGAGAGTTCTGGGGTGGGGTGTGCTTTTTTTTTGTTTGTTTCATTTTAAAGTAATTCTTTCTTCCACCCTTGTCTTCCAAAATGTGGAAAAAAACCTGAGTTGAAGTTTCCTTAGATGTATTTTCATTTTATATCTTGCATAAAATAGCAAGATAAGCCAATTCTCTGCAAGGCCCTTATTTAATTCTACAACAACCCCTCCCCTCTGCACTTTCCTCCCTTTCTATTTCAACAGAACATATATTGACCTGTCAAATACAAAGATGATATGAATTTAGTCATACAGCACTGAACACTGGCTATGCAAAAGCAGTGAGTAATAACACAAAAATCTAATAAATGAGATAGTATGCATTTTATTTTACCCAAGTTATATGGACAGCACATTATTTAAAACACGCGTATTTTAAAATGCAAGAGACCTCTTTTCTTAAAAAATGAGCATATTAAAATTACCTTACTGCTCCACTGCTAGTTACTTAATGGTGATTCCTACTAAAAGTAGTTCTGTCACTAGCATGCAGTATTTTAAAAGACAGATGTAGTACCATTAAACATCTACTAAACAGCAACACACACTTTTTCAACAGTGCTATGACAGGTGCTGCTCTGAAGCCAAGATTTTAGCTAGCAAACATCGTGGAGGACTTGACAGCACACTAGCACCTTTAAAGCATTAGTTTTCAGATAACACAACATAAGGCATAGTAAATCAACCAGTACAGGAGTTAATTCTTTAAATAAGAAATAAATAGTTCAGAATGTACTACCAGTGTACAACAGCTGGTATATTTATATGGAATTCATAAGCAGTAAGTACTCCAACATATACAGTAGAAGCAGAATTAAACAAAATAAAAGCTAACCTTTGCTGGGTTTGACTTGTATTCATAAAATAACACAAATCATAAAATAAAAAATATAAGACCAAATTCCCAGAACTTGCTCCTTGACTTGGCTCCTTGTAGAGTTTGTTCCTGCTTTAGGTTTTTACATTGCTCTAAGTGCCACTTCATGTGGGACTTAAAAATGGATCTCCAGCTAGTTTGTATTCACAATGAAAGGAATGGTATTTGTCAAAGTAAATTGGCAGGACTGACCTGGCCTCTCCGGAGGACTTCCACCCTTCTAAAAGCGTGGGTCAACAAAATCACCCAGCTGACCAACATGCTGCGTAAGCAAAACACCCTAGGGAGATTGGGGTTGGGAAAAAGAACAGGAACTTTTACTGTAAGTATAGCCCTTCAGCATATTACTGCCAGAAGGGGTCTGTCTGTTGGAATACATACACCTCGTTAGCTGATGGTATTTTTTAAGCAGCAGCATCCAGAACTGTGTTTGCCCTGTTGCCTCTCCCTGTGCTGTGCACAGGCAAAAAGCAACCCTTAGATCTCATGATGTTAAACTTGTAAAGAAGAATTCCTTTGCCCCCCATTTCTACATGCATTCTGCTAACAGGACTGAAGGAATTTTGGTTGTTACTGTTAACGACAACAGAACTGCTCCAGCTGCTAATTTAAAGAAAGCATTAAAGCATTTGATAAAGGTTGGCAGGCTGTTCAATACTGCCTTCTTGTAAAGATCTCTGATTAGAGTAAGTGCAAAGCAGATGGAAGGAGTGACCTGTGCTCTAGAACTTGATGAGTGAAGCACAAGTAGCCAATGCTCTTTAAAAAAACCCAAACCTCTATGTGCTTCACATCTGAGACAGAGAACCTGACCTTTTGAACAACCAGCAGAAAGTATTAAGGGTGGTACTTGGAAAAGTTCCAAGATTCCAGAAGAAACTCCAAAATTAAATAAAATAAACCAAGTCCTTCATGGCTCATCCCATCACCTCTATTCCTTCCAAAGGAGTAGTGGAGTGGTAAGGTGAACACAAAAAAATTCCATTCAGCCACAGTAATGAACTATTTAGAATGAAGAGGCTGAGAAAATTAATCTCCTCATGGGGATGATTACTTCCAAGAATGTAGCACCTCAATTTGACTCTTCTCTCTCACAGTCCTGGCTTTCTCCTCTCACTGCAAAATGGCAGACATCCAGGCAGATACAGAAACGCATGTCTTGTCACCTCAACTGAGATATTACCGCAGTTAGTAAAGATGCCCAATGTTCAGAAAAGCCTGAGTGATGGAGCCAGGCTGGTGTTCTAGCAGGAATCTTGGCTCCACTCAACCATTTCTTGTTTGTAAAGTATAGAGCTGCATGAATAAGCATCCTGTAAACTTGGAACAAGTAGACAAGAAGAAAAGCAGCTGACCATGATAGAGGCAATCCTGCCTTCTTGGCTCTATAATGCCCCAAAATTTCAAAAACAGCAAAGAACTTTCTTAAAAAAAAATAATTAAAAAAATAAAAGAATAAATCCCTCCCATCTGCCCCACAAACCAGTAATGACAGTAAGAAATGTCATTTCCTGGGCATGACTCTTTCCAATGACCTGCCATTGCCACAGTCAGCCCTTGTAATACAAAATGGGAAACCTGGAAAATATTGGAACAGTGCACATGCAGTCTGGCAAGGACAACCTTTGAATTAAATTGTTTTTGTCCCAGGCCTAATGTCCTGGTTAGTCCATTGTAATTTTTACCTGCTGTGCTTGTGTTCTCCACAGAGAAATCACCTGTGCCAATTCTGAGACTGTGAATTGGCAAGTCCTCTCTATAAAGCATCAGAAAGAGCACCCAAGTGGATGACAGCAACAACTGCTATTCTCTAGGTGATAGCAAAAAATATAATAGCTTGGCTACAAGCTATCAGCCTGCCAGGGGAATTGTTGACCCTGTCCTTGGAGCAAGTACTTTCTTTGTCATTGCAGGGTACCCAGCACCTTCTGCAATGATGTTCCTTTGGGGAAGGTAGAATGCATGTTCTCAAAGAACCTGAGTTTCTTCTCTTTTCTCATCCTTCTGCTTAGAACCGAGTTGGTCTTTCAGTACATGAGTAAGGCAGACAGAAGGGACTGAGGGGTAAACAAGTGATTTGTGTGTCAAGACTTGCCACATGTATGTCTATGGATTCCACAGCAGAACAGGCAACAATGCACTTCTCACACACTGAATAACCTGTGATTTCTTCCAGAAAACCAAAAGTCATTGGCTAGGTCTGTCAACCAGAATAATTTATTAATAATTAAGATCTTGAACTTATGCTAACAGCTTCTACATAGTTTCATTTGATGTTTGGGGCCATTCTTGCTTTCTTTACTCTTGAAGCACACAGAATTAGAAGAGTGACAGAAGAAATTGGGAAGACTGGAGTAAGGCTCACAGTTATGATGCCTCTTACAGGAATTTCAAGCATGTTTGTAATTTCCTCAGATATTGCCGTACAGAGCAAGATTTCAGATGCACATACACACATAATGGGCTCTGTAGAGACATTTAGTCTAACAAACTGCACTAATTAATGAGGGAATGGAATCTTCTAATCCCGCCGTTGAGTCATATTTACAGGCTGTAACAAACTCTAGCAACTTGAAAATTTCACAGAGTAATGGCGCACAAGCTATGCGCAGATTATTGAAATTTATTTAGATAACATTCTCTGGCCTTACCTACTAAAGTAGTCCAAAGATGATGACTGGTTTTCTGCCACAAAGAGGAAAGAGTGTTCTTAGCAGAATCAATTATTTAAACATAATTGCCTGCCATTTAGTTAACTAACAACTGCACCTATACCATCTCCTACCATGAAAAACTCTATCTGCTTTGTATGTCTTTTGGCAGAAAGATAGGAGAAACTTCTCAGCCACTTTAGACTTTGAAGGACTACCACAGATGGTAACCAAGATGACCACAACTTGGATGGAGAAAAATGACATGGAGAGGCAAACTGTAGTTTCAGAGCTGCCTATATCCTAAAGTAAGAAATGGTTCTTGATCTTCTCCTGACTTAACAGTTTTGTTTAACATGAAATTGACTATTTTTGCTGTGTTAACATGGCATACATAAAACTCTGTGAAGTATTAATTATATCCTTATTGCCTTACAAACTGCTCTTACACTGAAAGAAGAAAATCCATACATTTTTACTACATCACCCCCTTCATTAGTAGAAATTTTACTGAAGGAAATGTCTAGTGGGCTTAAAGGCTTGATTGATTTCCTATACATTGCAACTTCTGACTGACATTCTGGTATTCTCTGTCAAAAGATCCCTATGAAATGTCGCATTTGTTTTATTTATGCCTGAATAAATCAATACCAAAGCTTTTGATTATATTTTTAATTTTTGTGACCAAAATTATTCACTTAGCTCTCAGTCACCAGAGAAAAATAAGGTCTCATAGGATGGCTAAGAAATTAGTCTGTAGACAGTATGACTAGCACTAGCCTAGTATGACACAATAGAGAAGTTTGTGCAAAATTTTCCCATATAATCACTTTCAAAGAGTTTATGACAGTCACAGACTGGCACAATAACTTTTTGCACAAGGCAGGAACTGTATACTTACTCTTTGAGACATTCTTCTAAATGCTGGACTCGTAGAAATGCTTCATCTCTCTCTTCATTGGCTAATCTAAGCCTTGCCATGACAGCCTTGTCACGTTCCCGTTGAGCGGAATAAACTTCTTCCACTAGAGCTGCAGAAGTAACCAGTATGTTTAATACACAAGTTTGACAGGGAAAGACACTATTTGATGCACTTACATGGGCCTTTGCCAGCACCTCCTAAAATCAACATTTCTTCAATGACCTTGGATTACTCTGGATAAGGTCTATATTACTCTTCAGACACAACATTAAATTGCTTTTGATTGCTAAAATGAATACTTTAAGGAATGAAATAAAGCTATGTGTTTTCACATTCACCCCTGTATAATTAAACAGGGCAAAGAAGTGATTTGCTTTGCATTCTGAATACTTGCTTAATGGAAAAGTAATTGTTAAAGCTCAGAATTATGAGACACTAGTAGGTTTCTTCTAGGACACAGAGTTAAAAGTAATGTTCCATTAAAACTACTCCTAACATCACACTGCTTCCTATCAGTGTGGCATACTGATATTAAATATGAAAAATTCTAATATTTTCACACTCTGTCACTGGTATCACAACAGTGGCACAACTGGTATCTCTCCTTCTCTGGCAAGTCTTTTCTTTATTGTGTAATATACTGTTATATTATCTGTTACAGTATACATGGACCTTGGAGTATTAGGTGCCAATAAACTAAGATTTACTGTCTATCCTTGGGAGCAAACTAACACTTTCGAGTCATTCCTCATCCTGAGCTTAAGTATTCTCCCTGCCTTTCCCCTGTCAATATGTCTAACACCATCTCTGGCACACTGCCAGAATCCTTACCTCGACCCTGCCTACACTAAGATCTTTATTCATACTTTCATAATTTCCCTCTGCAATACTGCAAATCTCTCCTCTCAGTCATCATTAAACTCTGCAGTTGAAATGGCTAGGGACTTTCAGGACGCCATAGTAAGACTGCTGGCACTCAAAGACAGAGGACTATATCCTCTTTGATTGTCAGAGGCACCTCCAAAAAACTTAAACTGAGATCTGTAGGTTCCAGAATTCTCCATGCTCCCCTTCTAGTCTGCCAAGCTGATGTTTAGCCACAGGCTGCTAAGACCATACTGCAGTCTCTTTTGAATGCTGGCATTTGTTTCTCAAGCACCTTCTGTATTAAGTCATTGCTTCTGGGCTTCCTTAACTGCTTCCGAGCTCTCTGTCCCTCTCTGAACCATTCCTTAAGTCATTAAGAGCCCAAAGAAAGGCTTCCTCCCTCTTCACATTAGCCTAAAGCTTTTACCCCTCCATTCTTACCTCAATTGATGTCAACTTTGATGCCTTTATATGTTAATTTATTCTTACTTCATCTTTGCACATTATTGTAAGAAAACTGAATAGAGTGATATAACATAAACCACTTTATGGCTCTTCACAGAACAGAATAATAGAAGCATAGTAGTACATTTTGGTAGCAGCTATATTGCTGGCACACAATACACTTTAGCAGAAAAAACGAACACTGAAGAAAAAACGAACCTAAAATTCAATCTCCCCAACTGAAACACATAAAGTGATAAGTTTCTGTACAGTTCATAAGGAGCTCAGATAACACAGGGGCATAAGACAACCGAGATGAATATTCATCTCCCAAGAGATGAATTAGGAAGATGTTCAAAGTAGGAAAGCAATCCTCTTGTCCTCAAGCTGCGGAGAAAAGTGTTCCTCAGGCGTAAAGAAACATTTTTGCAGGTCTAGCAAAAGACTGCATGGTAACAGCAGACCAGACAAAAGAAGAAAGGAAAAGGCTGAATGTTACTTCTGGAAGTTCAGTCCCTCATCTCACAAAAATCTGCAGAGGAGCTGCAAACCTAATCATCAGGCCACAGCTGTAACCAGTTACGACCCATCAAAACAACAACAACAAAAAAGCCCAACAAATTCATTATAAGAAGCATAAATCTTGAAATATACACAACATTTAACAAACACTGATTTAATTCTCTCTTATTTGAGTATTTACTTGTTTCACAAGAATAGTGTCTTTTCTTGAAGATCCATTTACCCTGTTTGCAACATGAAAGCTTTGCTTGATGAAGAATGGAGAAACTAAGGCACAAGTAAAGCAGCTGCAAAGCTGCATGTGCACAGGCATGTTTACAGCACTTGCAGAGGTCAAGTCCAGTATCTGCAAAGGTAGGTGGCTCAGCAAGAAAAAGAACAAACAGTATGAGGTGGGTGGTACATTTCAGCTGACCAGACCTCCACTTAGGTTGCTGAGATCTATGATGGCAGCGAAGTCACTGCCTCAGTGTTGACTGCCTAGGTAAGTTGCAATGCAACTGCTATACCCTGTTTTGGATCTCGAATACACAAGCAGTTTAACTCTATATAGTAATTATTACCTACCTGTACCTTAATGTATATTTTTTTATCATAGTTTTTCCAGTCAATTATGTCAGTTTATCTATCATGCCAGAGACACTCCACAGAGACCCCGTCCCATAAAGCTGCAACTGGAAACATTATGCAGTTTTCATAATGAAAACAACTGCTGGAACTAACAGAAAACTTTAAAATAACTGAAGATTTGGCACTTATTACTCCTCTGGGGTTAATTAGTTTCCAGATTAGTTAGCTTCTTTCTGGTCCCTGAGTGCATCCCTTCTTCTGTCTGACCTTGTAACATCCCCACCTCAGCATGGAAAACCACAACTTGCTGACTGCTACAATGCATCCTGAGCATACAAGTACACTTAGAGGTACTGTGTTTTAGCATATCTAATTGCCTCTCTGTGTAACTATAACCAGTGGTAATAACGACCATACAGGTTTTTAAAAAAACAGATTATTACTTATTTGTCCTTAAACCAAAATAATGTATATATAACAGTATGAATATTCAGAAAACCAGATTTTTAAGTTACTTAAACATCTAGCTTATCTCAAATCTTCCCATCCTGATAGCAGCCCAGAAGCTAATTGCCTTGAACAGTGAACCCTTCCCCCACTCAAACGTCCATTAAAAAACACTGTCTTTTAACTTTTAGTAGTTCCACATCAATTACAAGTGTTTGGCTTTTGCTTTTGCTTCTATGCTTTTTGCTTTATGCTGTGTGGTTCGGTTGATATGCTGGAGGGAAGGAATGCCATCCAGAGGGACCTTGACACGCTTGTGAGGTGGGCTGATGCCAGTCTTGTGAAGTTTAACCATGCCAAGTGCAAGGTCCTACACCTGGGTCGGAGCAATCCCAGGCACAGCTACAGGTTGGGCAGAGAAGAGATTCAGAGCAGCCCTGTGGAGAAGGAATTGGGGGTGTTGGTTGACGAGAAAATGAACATGAGCCAGGTTCAGTGTGCACTTGCAGTCCAGAAAGCCAACCGTATCCTGGGCTGCATCAAAAGGAGTGTGACCAGCAGGTCGAAGGAGGTGATCCTGCCCCTCTACTCTGCTCTTGTGAGACCTCACCTGGAGTATTGTGTGCAGTTCTGGTGTCCTCAACATAAAAAGGACATGGAACTGTTGGAACAAGTCCAGAGGAGGGCCACGAGGATGATCAGGGGACTGGAGCACCTCCTGTATGAAGACAGGCTGAGGAAGTTGGGACTGTTCAGCCTGGAGAAGAGAAGGCTGTGTGGAGACCTCATAGCAGACTTCCAGTATCTGAAGGGAGCCTATGGGGATGCCAGGGAGGGACTCTTCATTAGAGACTGTAGTGACAGGACAAGGGGTAACGGGTTAAAACTTAAACAGGGGAAGTTTAGGTTGGATATAAGGAGGAAATTCTTTCCTGTTAGGGTGGTGAGGCACTGGATTGGGTTGCCCAGGGAGATTGTGAATGCTCCATCCCTGGCAGTGTTCAAGACCAGGTTGGATGAAGCCTTGGGTGATATGGTTTAGTGTGAGGTGTCCCTGCCCATGGCAGGGGGGTTGGAACTAGATGGTCTTAAGGTCCTTTCCAACCCTAACTATTCTATGATTCTATTTCATAGACTGCAATTTAATTTTTTCATAGTAACACAGATCAAGGAGAGTTAGAAAATCATTTAAGATGCCTGCGTAGCAAACTAAGATTTTAAACAGACAAAAAAAAATATATATATATATGTACTTAGTTACATGGTGGTTTATACCATGTAGCAATACTGACAATGACCACAAGAAATTACTAATTTAAAAAATACTTAATGTCTTCAGATAGCTCATTTTAATGATTTACACAAGGCTAACTCACCTGACACCTTTAACAGCCAAAACTTCTGCTAAATGTAGGTTAGACACTTTTGTTATCTGATGCCTACCCATTTCTGGCTCTATTTAATGTTTTACAAATTTTATTTTTTTTAATATTATATGGAATATCATAATAGCTACACAGTTGCAGGTAGGCCAAAGCATGATGTTGTTAACAATAACATTCACCATTCAGATTAAGCTATGGATGAGTCACAAGTAAAACTTCCGGACTGTAAGGATCACAGGATTCTTCAAACAAGCAACTTAAATACATATACCATTGGGTTGCAATGCAGCTGCAAACCAAAACATTTTGTGTCATATTTAGAAAAGTATGTGAAATGTAAGCTGTCCAACAAGGAGTCTATAGAAGAGTGTGACATAAAAATCTTCCATACTAAAAAGACTAAGGAATATCCAGATTCTCATCCTTATACTCCTTAAAAATCCCAGGCAAAAACTGAGAGTCAGGCTGCTAATTCCCATTCAAGATATGGCATATCCAGCAAAATACTAGCCCCATGCTGGCACACTGACTTGATCTCTGATGCAGTTAAAAAAGTGATCCAGCTACTTAGTCACCAACCGCTCTGGTTGACACCATGAGTTTTTTCTTGGAGACCTTCCAACAGTGCACCAAACAACCCTATCCTGTTTATCTTGAGACCTGACCAACAAGAAATATAAATTCTTACAGAACTCATGTTTCAAGCAAGAAAATGACACATAAAAATGAAGCATGAATAGTTAAATATTAAACTAAAATGAATTGTTTCATTTACTAATATACATATTACGACATTCAAGAGTTACAATATTGAAATCTCACAGTGCTAAATTAAGGAAAAAAAAAAGATTATTTTCCAGTGCTTGCAAACATT